ACAGAAAAAAAAAACTTTGGAAATACAGAATTATAGTGCAACACTTTTTAAATCACCCTTGATCAATAAACAGCAAATAGATTCTATTGCAAGGGTCTCCTTCATTCCCATTATTTGGATCTGTAATAGAATGTAGGAACAATTCCACTAAATATCTTCACCCAGACATTGTAATAAGGCTTTAGAAACCTGCTAAAAAATGATGACAGGCTTTGTCCAACCCATGAACTGCACATTCAGCACCTCTGCAAAGTTAACAAGAAGAACCAGGCCTTTGACAAGGAGGTTGGAAAATCAATGCCAGGGCTATCAGAGGAAGAAAGGGTCTTTTGCATATGAGAATTTCATATACTGTATCAGGCATTATGAGGCCATTATAATATTCTGACCCTTAATGGCTTAGAATAGAAGTCATAGAATAACAGAATTGAAAGGGACTTTGAAGGTCTTCTAGTCCCAACCCCTTGCTTGAGCAAGAGACCCTACATCATTCTAGATAAATGGCTGTCCAATGTCTTCTTGAAAATCTCCAGTGATGTAGCACCCACAACTTCTGGTGGCAAGTCGTTTCATTGATTAATTGATCTCACTGTCAGGAAATTTCTCCTTAGTTCTAGTTTGGATAACTATTTAACAGTTTCCACCCACTACGTCTTGTCCTGCCCTCAGGTGCTTTGGAGAATAGATCAACCACATTCAACATGTAGTCCTGAATGGAACTATACATATCTACATGGATGGACGTAAGCAATGGGCGACTCCAAGGTTCTGTCTTAGGCCCAGTGCTCTTCAATATCTTCATAAATGATTTAGATAAGGGAATAGAAGGTACACTCATCAAATTTGCAGATAATAATAAATGGCAGGGATAGCCAACATCCCAGAAGATAGACTTAAAATCCAGCAGTATCTCAACAGACTTGAACACTGGATCCTATCTAACAAAATGAAATTGAGTGGTGAGAAAAGTAAGATTTTACATTTAGGCAAGAAAAACCAAATGCACAGGTACAGATGAAGTGAAACTTGGCTCAACACCAGTAACTGTGAGAGGGATCTTGGAGTCCTAGTGGACAATCACCTAAATATGAGCCAGCAGTGTGCTGCAGCTGCCAAAAAAAGCCAATGCAATCCTAGGCTGCATTAACAGAGGGATAGAATCAAGATCCCGTGAAGTGTTACTACTGCTTTATAATGTGCTTGGTAAGACCACATTTGGAATATTGCATCCAGTTTTGATTACCACTATATAAGAAAGATGTTGAGACTCTGGAAAGAGTGCAGAGAAGAGCAACAAAGATGATTAGGGGGTGGAGGCTAAAACATATGAAGAATGGTTGCAGGAATTGGGTATGTCTAGTTTAGTGAAAAGACTACGGGAGACATGATAGCAGTGTTCCAATAGATGGTTCCGTCCCAGGCGACTGATGGACCCAGAGAGGTTCCTGACGGAGCTTGGGCCTTATCCGGAGGATCTGGTCCATGACTCGGTGGAAAATCAGACGGCAGCTTGGGAGTCAACTGCCGCCGCTGCATTGGACCGAGTCGTGCCTCTGCGGCCTCTGACCCGGCATAGGTCTCGACTGGCTCCCTGGTTCTCCAGGGAGCTGAGAGAGATGAAACGCCGGAAAAGACGCCTAGAGAGATGTTGGAGGGCCAGCCGAACCGAATCCGCGCGAACACAGGTAAGGATACATGTTAGATCCT